GAGATGGGAAGGCAGAGAGAGTTAGGAGCTGGGTGAATGGTCATGGGGAATCAGGGGCAGAAAGGAGGAGTGTGCTGTCACAGAATGGGGTGAGCAATTAGGGTCTCATAACAATGTATGTAAAAAAAAATTTTCTATGGGAGACTAACTTGAAATGTAAACTTCATTTAATTACAACAATAAAAAAAAGAAGACAATATACCTATTTACAGAAAACATGCACGAAAATCTTCAGACCAACTAATAAAACTAACGAATTCAGAAAAGCTACTGGATAAAACATCAATATACAAAAATCAATAGTGTTTCTAAACAACATTAATAACCAATTGAAACATTTAACAGAAAAAAAATACTATACAAAATACTCAAATAAATTATTATATAATTACCAAAAATGTGCAGAACTTTATTTGAAAGTGTTATTAAAATTTTGGAGTAATTATAGTAGTCTTGATGGAGAGAGATACTATTTACAGATAAAAGACTCAATATCATGTGATCTAAATTCTCCTGAAATTAATATATGACTTATTTGCAATCAAAATCCCAACAGGACACATGAGTTGAAATACAGAGAATGTCAGAATGGATAAAAAAAGCATGAGCCAACTATATGCTATATACAAGAAACTGACTTCAAATATAATGATATAGGGAGGTTATTATACTCCACAAGTAAAACGAAGTCATCAAGAAAGTAAAAAGACGGCCCACAGAATGGAAGGAAATATTTGCAAATCATATATCTGACAGGGACCTGTATCCAGAATATCACCTTAATAATAAAAAGACAGCCCATTTAAAAATGGGCAAAGTATTTGAACAGACATTTTTCCAAAGTAGATAAACAAATGGCTAGTAATGACAAAGATGCTCAACATTATTAGTCATTAGGGTAATTCATACAAGTCAAAACCACAGGTAATACCACTACTCACCTACTAGGATGGCTATAATGAGGAAAAAAAATTGAAAACAACAAGTTGTGGTGAGGATGTGGAGAAATTGGAACATCATACATTGCTTGTGGGAATGTAAAATGGTACAGCTACTTTGGAAAACAGTGCCTCAAAATGCTAAACATAGAGTTATCATATGGCCCAGCAATTCCACTCTTAGGTATATACACCAGAGAATTGAAAACATATGTCCACGTAAAAATTTGTAGACAAATGTTCATAGCAACATTATTCATAATATTCAAAAAATGGAAACAACCTAAATGTCCATCAACTGATAAACAGATAAAGAAAATATGGTCTAAGCATTCAATGGAACACTATTCAGCAATAATTAAAAAATGAAGCACTTATACATGCTACAATATGGATGTACCTTGAAAACCTTTCTCTGAATGAAATAAGCCAGTCACATATTCATTTATATGAAAACACCTAGAAAAGGCAAGTCTATAGAGACAGAAAGTAGATTAGTGATTATCTAGGGCCGGGGGTAAGGCTGGGAATGAGGAGTGACTGCTAATCGGTGTGAGGTTTCTTTTGGGGGAGATGAAAATGCTGTAAAATTGATGGTGGTGATAGATCTACAGCTTTGTGAATATTATTAGAAACCACTCAACAGTACACTTTAAATGGATAAATTGTGTGATATGTTAACTAAATCTCAATAAAGCTGAAAAAAATAGGTAAAAGGGTAGAAAATCACATTCCATACAAACATTAATCAAAAGAGAGCTGGAGAAGCTATATTAATATCAGACAAAGAATTTCATACTTCACACTTTAGAACAAGGAAAATGACCAGGTATAAAGAAGGACATTACTTAATGATAATGAGGTAAATTCACCAAGAAGATATAATACTAAATGAAGCAAAAATTAACAGAACTATTAGTTCAAGGACAAATAAACCACTGGAACAGAATAGAACACCTACAGCCAAGAAACACAATCATGAATATGTGTAAATGTGGTATGATATACCACAAAAATACAACTATAAATCAGGGGGGATTGGCCTATTCACAAATGGCAGTTGGGGTAGGGAAGGAGAAGGAGCAAGACTAGGGAGAGGTATGCAGGGAGTCCAGCCGTATCTGTCATGTTTTTGTTTCTTTTTAAAAAAAAGAAAAGAAAATCTGAAGCAAACATGGCCAAGTGTTAAGAACTGTTAAAACTGTATGGTGTACCTGAGTGTTCATTTTATTATTCTCTACAACACTGTAGCCACTAGGCACCTGTGGCTTTTGAAATTTAAATTAATTTAAAATTCCATTCAGGTGTCCCACTAGCTACATTTCAAATGTGCAGTAGCTGGTGGCTACAATTATACAGTGCAGGCATAGAATATTTCCATCATCACAGAATGTTCTATTAGACAAAGCTGGTCTATGCTTTTTTGTATGTTAGATAATTCCTAATAAAAGTCAGTAAGGAAGAGTTAAAGCTTGCAGTACACATTATGATGAGTGAAGGAAATAAAAGGAATGTAAGTGAAAAGAACATCATATAATTCCAAAATTTACATCTTTTTACTTCTTCCCTGGACTGTCAGATCTTTACTTCTTCCCCAAATATTTCCCAAAACACATGGGAACAAACTTTTTGTTGTCTCTCCCATACACCATCTCATTCTTTAGGACTACTTTAATACTAGGTAGAGGAAAAGCCATTATTTTATTTTTGTGTGGCTATTAAAGCTGCTCAGTAACTGCTTGGAAAAAAATTACTGAAGTATCAGCCACTCTTGACAGCAGCTTTGTGAATATGAACCCAGTTTTCACACCTTTGGCTTTGAGGACCATGATCCTTTGCTGCAGGTCAATGAAGGGCTGGATCAGGCAAAGCCGGGGCTCCTGCTTCTGACTCAAGCAGATACCGTTGTGATTCACAACCATCCAGCTCCGGTCGTACAGCAGCCCTTGGTTTCCTATAGGCCACCTGGTCACCTAAAAAAAAGAGGTGGCCGTATTTTAGGCCAGGGCTCCTCAATAATGACCTTCACATTACTGCACAATGCGCAAGTGCAGGTGGACTTCATGAATTCAGCACATATTCTTGAAGGAAGAAGGGGAGGAAATGAGAAGAAGGTAAAACAAAGAGGACAATAGGGAAGAGAAAGTGTGTGAGCTGCATATCTTCCATTCACTGTCCAGATTCACTTTAGACCCTTCTCCTATCTCTTAAACAGGTAATGCATGTGCATGGTGCTGCATTCAGAGAGTACAAGAGTGTACACAGAAAAGTAAGTCTCCACCCCACCTGTTCCCCAGCTCCCCTTCCCACAGGTGTCTGCAGTTCCTGCTTCTTGTATGTCCTTCAGGATAACGTGTACCTGTACAGACACATTCTCATACTATAGGTATATTTCTTGCACAAATGGTAGCTGTTACGGATTGAATTGTGTCCCCCAAAAAGATGTGTTGTGAATCCTAACTCCTATACTTGTGGATATAATCCCATTTGGAATAGGGTTTTCTTTGTTATGTTAATTAGGCCATATCAGTGTAGGGTGTGTCTGAAGGCAATTATCTTTAAGATATGAAATAAGCAGATTAGGCACAAAGAAGCAAGTACAGTTGGGAATAGATGCAACACCACATGAAGATCGCCAAGGAACCAAGGAACAGAAGCTGAAAAGAGACAAGGATCTTCCTCCAGAGCTGAAAGAGAGAGAAAGCCTTCCCCTAAAGCTGGCGCCCTGAATTTGGACTTCTAGCCTTCTAAACTGTGAGAAAATTAATTTGCTTGTTAAAGCCATCTACTTGTGGTATTTCTGTTATATAGCAGCACTAGATAACTAAGACAATAGCTATAGCAGAATAGTCATTAAGTTGATCCATATGAAATGTCAAATTTTTCCCGAGTTCTTCATATTTCTATAAAATTGGAATACAAATTATCAGATGGTCCAAAGATGTTACTATGGATTTAACTGTGTCCCCAAAATATGTGTTGGAATCCTAACCCCTATACCTGTGGATATAATCCTGTTTGGAAATAGGGTTTTCTTTGTTATGTTAATGAGGCCATGCAAGTGTAGGGTGTGTTCTAAGCCCAGTCACTTCTGAGTTATAAAAGAAGCAGATTAGACACAGGGACACATGCACACGAGGGGAAGACTGACACCATGTGAGCCTCGTCTACAAGCCAAAGAACCAAGGAACACCCAAGGCTACCAACAAGGAAGGAATCAACACAACCAAGACCCTGATTTGGACTTTTAGCCTCCAGAACTGTGAGAAAATAAATTTCTGTTCTTTAAAGCCTCCCACTTGTGGTATTTGTGTTACTGCAGCACTAGGTAACTAAGACAGATGTTAATCCTTTCATCTCCTCCCTTTTTCCCTCTTGTGTATCAAATAACCTCTCTACCTGGAATACAGCTGCTTCTGTTACTGTACCACTGAAATTCAGCAATATGATGGCCTATAATGGGGGAGCCCAGAAACTTATAATGGGTCTTATAGGTGAGCCTAGAAACCACTATTAAAACATTATTTCTATAGGAAACCACGTTTTAAATTCCAAATAACTTTTTAGAGCACAGTCTATTATTGGGAGACAATTCTCCATGGATCTCTCGTATTTCTGTATGTCTTATGAGCAGAAGCATTAACTGCCTTTTTGTTCCAGACTATCTTTTCAAGAATGTCTGTACAATGAGTAGATATGCAATCCTCTGGAATAGGGGGCAGGTTTGCTTACTGTCTGAGTTAATAATGTCTTCCTCCTGAGCAAAGGCCAAGCAGGTTTGCTCACATCCCATTACGAAAGAGTTGGGTTCCTAAGCTAGGGGTTCCTCAGTTATGACACACAGCATTCACCTAGGTCTCTCCGCATCACCCCCCTGGGACTTGGGAGAAAAGGAAAACCAACACATACATGAAGATTATGCTGCCGGCTGTGCCATGAATAATAGTTCTTTGTCTCTGACCCAGGAGTCTCATGTCTTTTGCCAGCATCCATGAAACTGCGACAGGCTAGCTTGTTAGTTTGCAAGTAGGGTAAAATCTCAGACCCTTCACAAATCTTGATACCTATTTGTTGGAACATGCCTATAATTTTCTATCCTTTCATTTGTTACCTAATATAATTTAATTTACTGGTTTCCTCTTTCCTTCTTCCTCATTGGCTTAAGCTTTTAGAAGGTATGTACACGTTGGGCAGAGGGGGAAACTGGCATGTGTGTGGTCAACCTTTGAGCTGATGCAGCTGGGATTTTGGTTACTAAAGGGGAATTAAATATGTAAGTATTCATTGAGGATAATGGGAGCCAGGTTTCTCACAGGAGTTACAAATATGGAAAGCGGGGATAGCTAAAATAAGCCCTGTGTGTTGGATAGGAATTGGAGGTATTAGTGTGAAATCATGGGAAGGGAGGGAGGGATACAGGGATAGAGGAATGGATGGATGGATGGATGGATAGAGATAAAGCTGTGTGTATGTTTTGGGAGGGGGTGTTCCAAAAGTCTTAGTACACAGTATGTGGTAGGCAGAATCATGCAAAGATCCCCAAAGTTGTTCACTCTGTCCACTGAGAGGACACAGAAGCAATGACACCCCAGAGGCAATGATCAGAATATCATTCTCTAATGAAAGAAGTAAGGTTCCTTGGTGAAATAGTCAACTCCAGGACTGAAGCAATGGAAATACAGAATGCTGTATAATTTATTAGCGTGAGGTGACAAAGAGCCCAGTCCACTGGAGGAACTAAAAGAAAGCCTGTGTGGCCAAAGGGTGAGAAGTGGTGTGGCAGGAGGGTCGGATGGAGGGGAAGTTGCGTGACATGAGATGCGATAGGTAGGCGCTAGATCACACATGGTCTCGTAGTTAGTGATCTTATTCTAAGTGGAATGGAAAGCTACTGAAGAGTTTCTAGCAAAGGAATTACTTGATCTGATTTTATTTTAGAAAGATCATACTGCCCAGCCCTCTTTCAGTTCTGCAGAGAGAGTTGAGCCAAATAAGTTGGATAAGAACATGAACGCAAGGAATCAGCAGACCTGGGTTCAAATCCTTGCTCTATCATTTATTAGCATGTGATGGGCAAAACGTTTAACATCCATAACCTAAGACTTCTTATCCCTAATATGGGGATAATTTTACTATCTACGTCCTATGCTTGTTTTAAGCATCAAAAGAAATGAAGCACATAAAATGCTTCAGCATGGCGCCAGCACACACATTCAGTAAAAGTTTCACCTATAATTATTCAACAGTAACTAGGGGTTCACCACTCAGAAACAGGGTCCTCTCAGCAGTCACCGTAGGCAGAGTGATGTTCAGAATCAGCCCATACCAAGAAAGTGAGGATGAAAATGGTTCTTCTTATATCACAGTACTCTGGCATGTAGTTTTAATTTCTTACATGCTTTTCATCACTTTATGCACGTTTTCTTCACTTTATCAAAAAAAATTTTTAAAGTAAACCAAAGAGAAGCAATTTCTGCACTGCAGTGAGAACCCTTACCTCAAACGCAGCACAGGATTTCACTGGGTAGAGGCAGAGGTTGGTGACAATGTGTGGCCCGAGGCCCCCAGCCAGGACTCTCTCAGCTTTCTCTGAAGGGGTCTGCTGGCTTCCGTTGACCTCACACACAGGTGAGCACAGACCCACAGCATTCATGGTGGTGGAAAAGTTGTCCCAAACTGCAGAAGTGTCTTCCTGAGGTGAGAGACTGTGTCCATCCACGACAGCAAGTGTGCTCAGAGCCTTGCACTCTGCTAATGGGGCTGGGGCCTCCCCAGCGAGGGTCTGAGGGAGGGGCTGGCCATCTGATGAGCACAGTCGGGTTGCTATGATGAACCTGAGGAAGGCCTGGGCATCCTCAAGCATAGACATATATCCAAATGAAATCCTCACAGACCCTGTAGGCTGCCCATCTATGAGGTCAATGTTGTCTCCACAGACATGACCAGCCTAGGATAAAGGGGAAATAAATCAGCCAGAGTGGTGAGTCCTGCTGTTTAGACATTAATACGGGAGTCAGGCATGAAGTCCACAGACAGGCCAAAAGAAAGACCAAAGTTTCAGAAGCCCTGAGGAGTCAGCTCATAGACTACTGTTATGGACTGAATTGTGTCCCCTAAAAATGTGTTAGAATCTTAACCCCTATATCCGTGGATGTAATACCATTTGAGAATAGGGTTTTCTTTGCTATGTTAATGAGGCCCTACCATTGTAGGGTGTGTTCTAAACCTAATGACTTTTGAGACATAAAAAGAGTAGATCAGACACAGAGAGACGCAAGCACAAATGAGGGAAAGAAAGATGCCACATGGAGATCTCCAAGGAACCGAAGGACACCGGAGCTAGAGAGGCTGAGACAAAGATTTTTCCCCAGAGAAGACAGAGACAGATGTCTTCTCCTAAGCCGATGCCCTGAATTCAGCCCCTCCTGAACTGTGAGAAAATAAACTTCTGTTTTTTAAAACCACCTACTTTTTGTATTTCTGTTACAGGAGCACTAAGAAACTAAGACAACTACCAAGGCCTAGATTGGGAGAAACACCTCCTGGCCACTCCCTTTAGCCTCTCTCAGAAGGGAAGAAGGGAGGCGCACATCCCCTGAAAGCTTCCCCTTGATAAGACGGCAAGGCAGAGATACTGCCCCTATGAGTAAACAACCCGAGGCCACTATGAAGAGCCAAAGGCAGTGTGAGTGCCGCTGCTGGGATGGGGAGAGAGACGCAGGAGGATGTCGGTCTCCAAGCTCTGCTGCCTGGTGTCCATTGCTGGTCAGTACAGTGCGTGAGGCTGCCCAGACACCTCACTCGGAGCTGAGTCCAAGCCAGTCATCCAACGGGCCACAGCATTCCACAGGGTCAAATGTTATATTTGGGACCACACTTACTTGTGCTCTGATGCTCTCAATTTTTTTTTTTTAAATAAAACCCAGTTTTTGGTTTAGTTGGGATCCAGCATATATAATATTTAGTGGCAACCAAAAGAAAGTCAAGTTAAAAACTATTCAGATATAAATGAGGGTTCTTTACTACTCAAACTATTCTTATAAAATAGTTCAAAGGAGTCTGTACCCTGGAGGGAAACACCTCAGCCCAGGGCAGAGGTGGGGAGGGGGGTCTGAGAGATGCAGACGCCTGCTGGAACAGCTCCACATCACACCAACCCAGTGGACACTAGCTCTGGCTTGGAGATTCTGCCCTAGTAGGGCTGAACTACTTAGGTGCCCTCTGCACGTACTAGCACATTCTTACGTGCCCCTTCACAACACCCCTCCCTGTGTTTACATCTTTGCTCCCAAAGGAAAAAAAAATCAGAAAATCCTACTATGTAGATAATATTTTGAAGCATTTTCTATTTTTGTTGATTCCCTTGTAGTGGGTTGAATGGTGGTCCCCCCCGCAAAAGGTATGTCCACGTCCTAATCCCCGGAACCTGCGAACATGACCTTACTTGGAAAAGAGATTTTTTTGCAGATGTAATTAAGTCAAGGATCTTGAGATGAGATCATCCTGGATTAACCAGATGAGCCCTAAATCCAACGACAGTGTCCTTACAAGAGAAAGAAGAGAAAAGAAGAGACAAAGAGGAGAAGCCCACGTGAAGACGGATGCAGAGATTGGAGTTATGTGGCCACAAGCCAGGGAGCCACCAGAAGCCAGAAGAGGCAAGGAAGGATTCTCCCCGAGAGCCTTTAAAGGGAGCACAGCCTGGTGACACCTTGATTTTGGACTTCCAGCCTCCAGAACTGAGAGAGAATAAACTTCTGTTGTTGTAAGCCACCTAGTTAGTAGTACTTCGTTATGGTAGCCCAGAGAAACTACGACACCTCTTTTCCTTTGCACATACACACGAAGCTAAGAGAAATGAGCCCACAGAACCCTAGGCATGCAACCAGGCACAAGTGTGGTTGGAGGAGGCTGCAATCGGGCTGGTCAGCATTTTGGTCATGGGTGCAGAACTAACCTGAAGATTCTTCTTGACCATCTCGTTGCTTATCCCCAGGAACCTCTGGCAGGCCCCAGTGTTACAGAAGCAGCCAGTCCGCACTTGGATGTTGTAAAGACTGGCCATTTTATCCACCTGCAAATTGAATATGACATAGAACCCATGTTAGAAATGCCCAGTTTTACTCTGAGTGCCTGGAATAGTTTTAGATCAGCAATTGGACCTCTGTTTCCTAAAAATAAAATGAAAATATGAGCCTGGAATTCTGCTCTAAATGACATGATCAGGGGTTTATTAAATATATTTTATAAAATGTTACTCAGAAATATATATGTGTGTGTGTATATATATATATAATTTTTATCTCATTGGATTATAGATGTATGCTTGAGAAAAGTGAAACTATTAAATTTGCTTCAGGCCAAATTCCAAGTTAAGGGCCCAAGATGCAAGAATAAGTGTTAGCGGGTTGGGGACCTGGGGCAGCTCCATGTCACCTGCCGCCACAGGGCTTGATCAGCAGAGCAGCCCCGCAGCCCCTCAACCCCCTTCACCCCACATGCCGCTCAGAGCATCACCAGCCTCAGCTCACAGCCTGGAATGCAAAGCATCACTGGTGTTGACGCTGTGTGTTACAGCTTTGCTGTTCAAAAATTCCCTCATGTGGGGCTGAATTGAGAATTGCTGTTTGATTCAGGAGTTCCCAGGCTCGCTCCTGCCCTCTGGAGGCTGTGGGAGGTGATCTGCCCTCACTCAAAGCTCAAAGGCAGGGCCAGCACCAGGGGATGCTTGTCCCAGCTCCTCCAGCTGTGGGTCAAGGGTTCCATTTCCCCAAAGGGCTGGGGGCCCAGGGCGGGTCCTCTGCCTGGTGGCTCAGGCTGAACTCAGGGAGAAGGGTCACCTAACTGCATTCAGGGAAACAAACACACCTTGCCCAGATGCATAAGGCTTCAAATCTTCTGTCTCTGGGAAGTCATCTGTGGGTGGCCGGAGGCAGCCATGAGGAGCACGGCATCCCCTGCAGGCCACCAGGTACCACGTGGTCAGCCTGGGCTCCCGGCTGAGCAATGGGGCTTCGCATACAACCCTGTCACAACCATGACTGTCTTGATTTCGGCCATCTCCCCTGGTCTGTCAGAGAGAGAAGCCATTCTCTGGGTTGAACTGAGGGGCCTCAGGAAAACAACCCTCCTCCTTCTCCCTTGGCTTATAGCTCCGTGACACAGAGACCTGCTAAGGAATTTCAGGAGTTCCCTGGCTCTCAGGTGAGACTTGATGGCCCCACAAGAACAACCAATTCCATCTCCAGAGTCAGGTCTCCATTCAAAGGGCAGCTTCCCGGGAACCACCCTAACGTCCCACTCCATCTCCTACCAGGTCCAATTAGAAGAGTCCATGCCACCCTGCCCCCAGAATTCACTGTTCCCATTACTTTCACTGCGAAACAAGCCACCCTAAACTTGGTGGAACAAAACAATAACCATTTTATTATGCTCATGGCTACATGGGTCAGGAATCAGAAAGGGCACAGAGGGGAGGGTTGTCTCTGTTCCATGATGTCTTGAGTCTCAGCTGGGAAGACTCGAAGGCTGGGAGTGACTTGGAGGCTGAGAGTTGGAATCATTGAAGATTCATTTACTTATGTATGTGTCTGGCCCTCCAAAGTAGAAGGACTCAAAAATTAGGACTGCCAGCCATAGTAACTGCCCTTGGCCTCTCGTGTAACTGTGCTTCCTCACAGCATGGCAGCCTCAGTTCCTCACATGGTAACTCCAAAAGCGTGTGTCCCAGGAACAGTGCAGATGCTGCATTGCCTTTTCTCACCTAGCCTGGAAGCCATGCAGGTCAACTTGCATGGCATCCTATTGGTTTTAAGTGAGTCACAAACCAGCCTGGATTTAAGGGGAAGGGCTATCAACTCCACCTCTCAATGGAAGGAGTATCAAGGTCACACTGTAGAAGATGTGGGTTGGAAGACATTGCTGTGGCCATACTTACCCTTTATCCTAATTTATGTTTATGAGTCAATCTCCTCTCACCCTCAGCCCAAAATATTTTATAACCAACCCACCAAATCCTTAGAACGCATAATATGCATATAAACTATGGCAGAAATAAGGGTTTTTGTGAGACTAAGGGCATCATTTCTGTTTCTCATAAAAAAAGGGCATTGAATTCCAAACAACATGCAAAGAAATGATGGTAACAGGCCCATGACTTTGTGCGATGCTATAAGATGGTGTGATATGCTTCTGGGTCTACCAAGCTGTCTGTACCTGACATGACCTCAGACATGGTGTTCTATCTACACGACTTTCCTCTCCACACTACTTTAGTGTGATTTCCCTTGCTGGCAAGCTGTCAGCTGTCACCTTCCACTGCTATCAGAGAACCAGCTTCCCTCTTCTCACTTAAAATTTACCACCACTGGCTAGTAAGGGGAGTCCCTGGATGGTACAAACAGTTAATGTGCTCAGCTGCTAACCAAAAGCTTGGAGGTTTGAGTCTACCCAGAGGCACCTCAGAAAAAAGGCCTGGCAATCTACTTCCAAATAATCAGCCACTGAGAACCCTTATGGAGCACATTTCTACTCTGACACACGTGAGGTTGCCATGAGTCAGAATCAACTGGACGGCAACTGGTGGGCTGGGTAAAGAGGGCTGAAAAACTAAATAGCAATGCTTGTTAGAACTCTGCATAAATGAGAGTAAAGAGGCTGTGAGCAAGGGCCTGGTGGCCCCTTCAACAGTGTACAGGGTTCACAGCTACGCCAAGGCCCAGGGGCCTTACTGCAAATTTCTGGGCTCGGTAAGGCTTCGGGGGTCCAAGTAAGAACAATTCTCTTGTGGACAGGGCAGCAAGATGAAAAGAAACCCACCTGAGAGTAACCAATGATGTTCCCCTGGTCATCCAGCACATTGAAATTGATGATTGGACCCTGAACCTCGGGGCTGCTGAACTCAGAATCACTGTAAATCCGCACCACGGGGGCTCCGTTGGGGTACCGGAGGGAGGACAGGGCAGAGTAGGTGTACTGCGCCAAGGTGAAGGTGTGCTGCTTTATATTCTCCATCCCACCTCAGAAACAATTATGGAATGTTACAACAAAATCATGAACTTTACATATAAAAGAAATGAGATCAATATAACCAGCAAACTGGGAACTCATATAAAAATTGCTGCTCATACAATAAATGTTTAGGTCTTTGGTACTGAACAACAGGTTACCAATTCTATTTCTGTAGAAATTTTCCTTGTCAATCTTTGCTACCTTCTTTTTTTGTTTCCTAAACTTTCAACCAAAAAACCCACTAACGTTAAGTTTATTCCAACTCATGGCAACCCCGGGTTTTACAGAGTAGAACCGAGTTCCACAGGGTTTTCATGGCTGTAATCTTTACAGAATCAGATCGCCAGGCCTTTCTTCTGCAGTGCCACTGGGAAGGTTCCAATTGCCAACTTTTAGGTTAGAAGTCGAGTGCAAACCATTTGTACCACCCACGGACCTTACAACAGACGGCAAAAAATGTGTAATTTTTTCTTTAAAAGTACCGGGTTTTTTCTGCATTTTTTCTTAATGCTTAAATAATATTACAAAAAGCAATTAAGTAGGAAAAAGCAGGGTTTGCCTTATTGCAGAACTGGTATTTTCAACCTTTGCCTGTCAGATCCTGTCACCGGCAGTTTGGGTGCCTTGCTAATATCCTTCTTTGGAGAAGTGCTCTTTTCTCAATGCCTGTCTATTATCTTCTCCCTCTGTCCTGGGTGGTGCCCAGGACAGCCCTCCCTTCTGATGAATCCTGTCTGTTCCCCGTGTTGGGATAAAGCTGAGGACTTAAAGGGCCCCGTTATCATGACAAGAATGAGAGAGAGGAAGCACTGCCTAATTACTAAAACACATCCCTGCTGGGGTCTTAAAAGCTTGGTCCCAACCACCTGGAGTAAAGGACAATGAAGAACACCAAAGACACAAGGAAAGTATTAACCCAAGAGACAGAAAGGGCCAGAGACTTCATCAGCCTGATACCAGAAAAACTAGATGGTGCCTGGCTACCACCAATGAGCGCCCTGATAGGAAACACAACAGAGAGTCCCTGATGGAGCAGGAGAAAGGTCGGCTGCAGAACTCAAATTCTAGTAAGAAGACCAGACTTAATGGTCTGACTGAGACTGGAGGAACCCCGGAAAGCATGGACCCTGGACTCTCTATCAGGCCAGAACTAAAACAATTTCCGAGACCAACTCTTCAGACTGGGATTGGACTGGATTGTGGAACATAAAGTGATACTTGTGAGGAGTGTGTCTCTTAGCTCAAGTAGATACAAGAGAATAAACAGGCAGCTTCCGTCCAAAGGTGAGATGGGAAGGCAGAGAGGGTTAGGAGCTGGGTGAATGGACATGGGGAATCAGGGGTGGAAAGGAGGAGAACAATTAGGGTCACATAACAATGTATGTATAAATTTTTGTATGGGAGACTAACTTGAAATGTAAACTTCATTTAAACTACAACAATAAAAAAAATAATTAAAAAAAAAGACGCATCCCTGGTTTGTCCCAACTCCATCCCTGTATGGACAATACAAGCAGTGTCACCCAGTTTTAGAAGCTCGACCTCTGGAAGGAGCGCCCAGAAGCTCAGCACAATGGGGGATGCCTGCCTCACCAGACAGAGGCTTTTCTAGTGACCTTTGTGTCAAGCCCCGTAAGGTACGAGTGGCATGTGTCCATGTGTCAGCCTCCAGTGAGTGTGTCCCGCCTGTCACCGCCCCAAGCACTTGTCAGTGAAGAGGACATGACTCATACAAAGGCCATCAGCAGAGACAGCAGTGGAGAGCTAAGGATTAGGTACCAAGTGAGCTGGGTTTAAATCCTAGCCCTCTGGCTACCAGCTCCCTGGCCCTGGGGAACGCACCTGACCTCTCTGAGCATCAGCTCCTTCATGGGCAAAGTGGCCTCATCATACAGCTCCCTTATGGAGGCAATCTAGCAGGTGAAGAGTCGAAGACAGTCTCAGGATCTGTAACCATTCCCAGGGACCGAGGATGGCGTCTGTTTCTGCCAAGCTGTTAATCTCCCGATTTGGAATGACTCTTACCTGTCAAAATGTTCTTTTAACTGACCAAAAATAAATAAAATTTTAAAAACCACCTCAGTCCCTTGATCTCAGAAGTCATTTTGAAATTACTGAGGACCAGATTCAACTACATCTAGTGTCTAGCTACTATGTACCAGTCACTTCCCCAGATCCATCAACCTCATCTGAATCACCCCATGCCAGGACTCCCTCAAGAATTCGGGCAACAGGACTTCCAGGCAACATGGCCCTACAGTCAGAAGCACCACGCCATCCCTCCACAGCAAAGATCAGAAAATCTAAGTCAAACAGTCACAGGTCAATCCTGAAACCCTAAGCATCAAATGAAGAGATAAAGAATTCAGCCAAGCACCGAATGGAATAAGAAACTGACCGAGAACAGAGCAGGAGGAGAGATACATGCAGAGGTCCCCTATCAGCTACTGCAGCATGGATCCACCATCTTGGACTCCTATCAGAGATTAGTGAACAGGAGGTACGAGAAAGCAGCTTCACGGAGCTTCCAGCAGCAGACAGAACTGGTAACCCACGATATAGGCTTTCCCATCCCCTACCCTTCTTCACCCCATCTTAGCCTCCTCTGCTTTCTCCAGCCACAGTCTATTGGCTGGGAAGCACGAGCTTCCCCCCAGTGCCGCTTGGATTCCTCCTGCCCACACTGGCCGGCTCCCTGAGTGCTTTTTGTTGGCTGCTGGTGTTGCTTTTTTCCACTTGTTTAGATTTCTTCCTTACCTCTCACCACCTCCCCCTCCTTCCTCTCAAATACCTGGCTCCGTGCGTCATCTTTGCTTCTTCCTGAAAGGCTGCGAAACATGGCTCGACTGTGAAACTTCTTCCCGGCCCATGCCGCCACGTTGGTGGGACCCTCAGGGCTTTTTTGTTTGTTTGTTTGCTCTGATTTGTCCTGTTTTGATTTGTTCGTTTGTTTTCTTTTTCTTTTTTCAGTTTGGGAGCCCCTTCTAGCCGGGCAGTACCATGCAGCTTGGAAGCTAGTCCCTTACTCTGTGCAGATGGACAGGGACATCCCTGGGGGCATTTGTTTTGTTTTGTTTCTTTTTGGTTTTTTTGTTTGTTTGTTTGTTTTGGGGTTTGTTTTTTTATTCATTTCTTTTTTAGTTTTCTTCTCTCTCTTATTCCCTTTTTGTCTGTCTTCATTTCCGGTTTATTAATTTATTCATTTTTTTCTTTTACCCTTTTTGTTTTTCCCCATTTCTCTGTCTCTCATCTCTCCATTCCAATAGCAAGCTCCCTTAGCACTCTTTTTTGTTTGTGTGTATGTTTTTTGGCTCCGGTTCCTCTTTCTTCTCTCTCATCTTTTCCATACCCATCTTAGCTCCACACATCACAATCTACCCTCTCCTTCTTGCCTACCTGCACCGTGCGCTGAACACCACACTCCCAAGCAGCACAGGCATGACCTACTGGAACCTGCCCTGCACTAATTCCCGGTCCGCACTGTCAGCCCAGCTACATGCCCCAAAAACACCTGTCCCAGCAACTCCCCTTCAGCTGGACCTGCCCTGCTGTACCATACCTGAGTGACTGACCCTGCCCATTGGAGAAGGAGGTGAAAAGTATCGTGCCCACAGATGAGCAAACAACAAAGAATGCACAGCTTGCCTGCTCAGACATAACCAAATAAAACAAAAAAGCAGGATGAAACAAACAAATCTACAATCAATAAACAAGGAAAATAACCACAGAATGCCCCGAAGACAGCAGACAATATCAAAACATTTACAAAAACAGGACAGGATGGTTCCAGTAGGTGTACGAAATAAAACACCAGATGACCTTCCAGTAGAAGAAAAGGCAATAGACCTAACTGATAGGGAATTCAAATCTCTAATATTTTAGAATTATCCAAGAGGTGAAGCAAAAAACAGACAAAAATGAGGAAACAATAGACAAATTCATGGAAAATACAGACAAAAAAACAGAAGAATTCAAGAAAATAATACAGGAACAAAATGCTAAAATAAATTCACAACTAGAAATCATACAAAAACAACAATTAGAAATCCAAAAGATACACAACAAGATTTCAGAAATGGACAGTGTCCTAGAAGGAAC